CGGCATATGGTACAGCTTCGAAGGTTTTTGGGCTTGAACTCGAGACCCTGCTTAGCGATTACGAAAGATAGCGCTTCGAGGTTTCTGCTGAAATGTTTCCTGGTAGCGCAAAGATGAGATGAAACTGGATAAAACACTTCTCTACATCGCTTCTCATCCTTTAAAGGGATGTAACCAGGCTCACACCACAGATTTTCGAATGATTGCTGCAATTAACGCTGCACAAAACACTCATATTTGCCCTAATACTTTGTTGTTCTGAACGGTAGCTCACCAATTATGACGTCACAAAATCCAGTTCCGACAATTGTCCGAAGTTTCCACGAACCGTTCCGTTTGTAAAGCGAAGAAAAATTGCTGTTTTCAAGGTCTAATATCTCGGCGGCTTTTTGACTAAATCAGATAAAATTTTGGATTATGATTATTTTTATTAGTATCTTTTATTTTAACGTATAATCAAACTAGGCCAAATTTCGTTGCATTTGACCTTTAAAATACCATCTGTTGCATTTGCCATCTGAATAAACTCAAACGTTTCCCTGGTAGGAGACTCTAAGAGCGGTGTTGTCGTGCAGCTTGTTGAAAGAACATTCCTGAAATAGTAAAAAAAAAATGACTTATACAGCTTACAAAAGAATAATTGCATGCATAAATTAGGCAGGTTTATACAAAAGTTGTATACCACAAATATAGTAGTCTACACTCTTTTCTTTTTACAAGAATATATCTTTTGAGAATATCGAAGCTGAAATTTGCGAAATATTAAGAATAATTCAAGAATAAACTCGAAGCTGAGATTGTGAAAAGAATATAATTTTGCGTTTTGAAAATGTGTAAATACAATACTGTTAATACAGTATGTACTGTCTTTGATTAAACCGTATAAAATTCTTCGTTTCACCAAACGGTAAAACTAGCCAAAACTAAAAAGGGCACCAGCAGTATGTTCGATTCTAATAACATTTCTGAAAGAAGTTATGTGCGTCATATCAGCCCGCAGACTGGCTCCAAAATTATTTCAACACCATCGAGACACCAAATACAGTCTAACCTGAAGAGACAACTGTCCGCTTAATAGAGGAGGCCGTTTAATAAAGGTTCACCCGAAAAAAACGTTAAAGTTGGGCGTGGTGCACTTTTCAGTTTATCAGATATAAGTATAAACAAATGCAAGTGGAGAAAAAGTAGAACAATAATGGTTATAATGCGGTCCATAACGTTAACAAAAGCCAAAGAAATAATTACCTATAAAGACGCAACGTGTCTGTTAACCCAACACTGGCTTGTGTGTTGTAGTAACAAACTATAACTCTTCGAGACTTTGTTTTGTGATTGTTTTAACTAAATACTGCTGGAATGTGTTTTTATAGTATTCCATATTGTTATTCTTTTTACCTTCATCTGGCTAAAAACGCCCAGCTTGAAATTTTCCTGGCCGTTTAATGGAGGTATAAAACAACATCACCTTTGGGACGGCAAGAAGCTGACCGCGGCCGCTTAATAGAGGTGGCCGATAATGTAGGTTTTTATTACAGTTTAGCTAACAATTTTTTCGGGACTTTGGCCGCTGAACTTCAAATAGAGGTTGGCCGCTTAATAGAGGACCGCTTATTAGAGGTTTGACTGTATAAGAATTCGATTCCGTTGGATTTTTCCAAAGAAACGCACCCTTTTAAACCACACAATTAAAAACAACAGAACAATCTTTAATTT